CTCTCTCTCTCTCTCTCTCTCTCTCTCTCTCTCTCTCTCTCCCTCTCTGGCTGTCTCTCTTTCCCTTTCTCTCTCTCCCTACCTCCGTCTTCTCCTTTCCGCATGATCCCACCAATCAGGTTCGGGGCGGCTGCGGCTGCGCGCGCATGCCCCCCCGCGTTGGTAATCGAGGCTCTCTCGCTAGACGTCCTTCCACTTAATTTCACTCTCATTTCTGCGATGACCGGACGATGAGGGGTGAGAGGAGGGGGCGGGGGGCGCTCTACTACGAGCACCATCACAAACAGGCGTGGCGGAGGTGGCGCCGCGAGCGCGCACAGGTTGCGCAAGACCTCCCCTCATCACGCGGCTGCTGCAGCCGCTTATGTCTTTCTCTCACGCCGATGGATGAAGGAAAGAAGAAAAAAAAGAGCAGGTGAGAGAGAAATAATAGATACACAGAAATGGGCAGAGCGGGTACACGGAGCAGTGCCAGCGAAGAGTGTCTGTGTCAACCTCCGGGAGTCGCATCCCTCGTACCCCCCTCCCTCCCTCCCTCCCTGTCCTCCACGAGCGCGGTCGTACCAGCTCTCGCCCCATCATGCCATACCTCCGGCAGCGGGATACGCTTTCATTTACTACAGCAGCACACACGGCCACTTTTTATTATTTCTGAAATTCCATTTTCATTCTTGATCATTATACCTTACACCAATATCTTTAGTTTTGCCTTGTACTGCTTGTACTGCTTATACGTTGACGCCCCCGATGTTTGCAAGAAACGCGGCTTGAAAGACAGACAAGCCAAGTCACAAAAAAGTCTTGGAAAAACGAAAAGAATTCTGTTTACTTTTGCAAAGCTGTAAAAATGGTTTAATATTATATCTCTTTTTAGAGTCGAACGCCCGCGTTCACGATATATATATACGCCCGTCCAACAGCCTGACTCGGCGAATCTCCAGCGCGACTACGAGGGGAGGAGGGGGAGGAGGGGCAAGTCCGTAAATATCCAAGCAGGCGAATAAAATTTGACGAGGAAGACGAGCGGACTTATAGCTGTTCGCACCACTTTTCCCCTGCCGCCACGACAGGACAAAGAGTCCTTATCATGCGAGTATGAGAATGTGGGCCTCGGTCCGGGGCGGCGTGGCGCGGCGTGGCGCGGCGTGGCGCGGCTTGGCCGAGGCTGGCCGAGGAGGGCACCAAGCCGTAAAACACGGCTGACGTAACACGCGCCGTCCCCCGCGTCCACATTTAGTTTTTATTTCCAGCGCCGGCCTGGTCAAGCAGGGGCGGCCCGGGAGAGGGAGAGAGCGGGGGGAGGGCGGGGGAGGTAAGCTCGCCCTGCGGTCCACAAGGCTGGCAGCCAGAGGTGTGTCTAAGTGACAGAGGAGGGGAGGGGCTGTGTTTGTTGTG